GATGCCTAGAATAGGACACTCATACTGACCGAAACATGGTCGTCGCCAAGGTACGTCATTGATCATCTTACCACCACCCCGCCCGATTTTGCCACGTATAGGAGAGACAGGGAGGTAAGGGAGGTGGAGAGTTGATTCTCGTAAAAAATCAATATGCTTAGTGGGAGACTGCGGAACTCAAACTGGGTATCCCTACTGTGTAAGCACTTGGATGCACTATTTGGGACCGGGGACGACACTTCGCCATCCTTGGAGTCCACAGAAACCCTCGACCAGCTCAAGAGGATAAACAGCTGGTAAGCACGCTGAGCATGGTATTTAGGAAGACGACAAAGAAGATCATAGCTGGTGATTCTAACCTTCCTAAACTTGATTGGTAATACGCTGACTTGGGAGATAGTTGCTTTTCAGAAGTTCCCAAGATTTTTCCACGAGCAAGCACTTCATCATTATGTTCGACAACCACCGCGCTTCCAACATGGACAAAGATCGTCCATTTCAGATCNTTACCCGAGCGGAAAACTGTAGAAGTCCCTTTGGGTAAGAGGCTGGTTCAAATAATTGGTGGTCGCCCAATAAGTATGCATCTGTCGAGTACGACTGGTGTGTACTTTGGGAATGCCTAGTAGAGCTCACTGAGAGGCACGCACCATTGCAACCGAAGAGAAACTCTCAAGACCCTTTTATGGTAGTCAACTTCCATAAAGAGGGCGATAACTTTCAGGGGGAAAAATGGGGAGGGGGGCTATACAACCTTTGGAGGACAGCACAGGTGGTTCGTCTATAAAATGGCCCGAAATTACGCAAACAAGCTTATAAAACAAGCTAAAATGAACCATGAACTGAGGATCGCTCAGCAAGCTAAAACCAACCCCAAAAGGTTTTACCCTTATGTACAATCGAAGGCTGCTTTAAGGTAAAAGGTTGGGGTCCNGTCCTACGAAACCACGTTGTGGACGAAGCGTTTTCGGAAGTGGGAAAGTGCGTGATACCCATGTAGTTCTTCGAAAGCGTCTACAAAGTGGATGATGGGCGGAGCTAGCCCTCAGGTACGGACTCCTCCAATGAGTGGTCTACAGGTAAACAGAACCTCAGTACTAAAGAAACTTAGGGAGTTACAACCTAGCAAATAAGGGGGGGTGAGGGACTATATTTGGCCACTCGCAGAGATTATAGCGGCGCCCGTGTGTAATCTATGAAAAATCCATAAGATTCGCAGATAACGAAGGATTGAAAGACGACGACAATTGTGGCGATACATACGG